TCCCTACAAACCAACACTTGAGTAAATCACTTTTATTAATCAATGTCTTCTAAAAATCTAAAGCTGTCACTTCCAATGTTGAACATTTAATAAAATGGATATAGTGTTTATAACACTATGTTAGGAAATGCTCTAAATAGAATATTTTTTCTGACTCTCTTGTTAATAATGATTTGGGTAGGTAGTATTCAAACCAGTGATTTAAAATTCACAAAATAAAAGAACATCCAATTTCTTAGGCAACTGATAGGAAGTCATATTACCTCGTCAGTTCTCTTTAGCTGTATACCCACTTTAATAGCATATACATCACACAATAACAAATGTCTAATAAACCTTAGGACGGTTCAACAGAAATCCACGATGTTGTGGCGCGCTCTAAAGACATTGCTTGTTGTCTGTCCGTTAGGCAGTTAAACTTCCTTAGCAATCGCTCGTCCAGTACATCAGTGATCTCCTTCCCATTTAAACCGTCTACTCTACGGCATATAGCCTATGTCTGACCTGTCTGCAATGTCTTCAGTACAACTGCATTCGTCATCGGCTCCTAGATGCTCAATAAAGCAAGTAATGGTGTAGGCTATTTCTATTGTTTATTCAGGCTTATTAGAAACAGTCTACTCAGTTGTTAGACAATGGGCCGTCCAGAAATTATTATTAGTCTTTTGAGTTCTGAGTGGAACATATGGCTTCAACAACACACCTCCACTTAGTTCAGTTTTCTGCTGTCTTCTTCATCTGGGTCCACGATTGCTCATAATCTCTCATCTCTTCCAAAATCTTTTCCATGTCACCTTCTCGCTGATGACCCACTCGTCGTTTCACATTAGGGTTCTACTTTAGCGATGGCCTGCATTGCGCGCAATATCATTTGATGGTCTCCTCGCTGGGGTATACCCAATCCACCACCATTTTCCCCTACATATTTGATCATAGGGAATAAAAAACAGACAGCTGCAGTGAAGAAAATTTTCTTTTCAACGAAGTTATAAACTAAGATGTACATTCGTGTATTTATAATAAATGGGTAGAGAAGTGTATTATTATTGATATCTTTCTTGCATTTAATCAACTATTTATAGACCTAAAAAGTTGGTGTAGCTTTACTGTTCTTTAGAGACTCACTAATAGATTACTTGTAGTTCATGATCGATGAAGTGTTTTCCTCAAAACCTGATAACTTTGGACTTTATTCTATTTTTTCCTTAATTCACAGTCATGAGATAAATATATATAGCGTACTTAATTTTTCCTGTAAATATTTCGATGAAATTGATTGACTTCCGAATTTGACCGGAAAAAGGTTGAATTCTCACAAACTCAGTGAAACACTAACCAATAATAATGTCACCTCAATAGCCGTTTCTGTGTTCAAGAATCGATAGCTTGATGATAACTGATGTTTCCTTGTATTTCAAACTTTTGATGAAAATTTAAGGGTACAGTATGGTGGGATCACGTAAATCGATATCGGATAACTTTATCTGATACGGTATTGAAAACTGGTTGACATTTCGTTAAGTATTCATTAGTCATGATAAAATCGATACCCAGAATGTTTTATCACTAAATCCATGAAACCTAAGCCGCCAAAACCACCCACACTCTCTGCTCCCGAGAAACTTCTTTACCTGAATCTACAGTTCATTTGAGATTCAACAGCAGAAACATTGAGAAACCGTCTGTCCCCCTTTGCGGCTGAACTCTAACCAACCTTCTCTGCGATACCCGTGACTCGCATGAACTTGGAGGATCAGCTATGACTGTTGGCCGCATCAGTGTGCATCTATCAATTCACCTGGTCATGTGGAGCTAGGTATGTCGGCCGTACCCAACGTTTTCTATCCAAAAGTGTCGTCGAACACTTGCCGTCATGGTTTTATAAAGGAGAAAAAAGGTGCCCCCGCCAAAGCTCTATCCTGGAACACCTGATCGTACCAGGACACCGAGCAAACCAACAAAGTGACTTTAAAGTTATCTACAGAATACGTAGAAGTTTTGCTAAAGGGATACGAATCAAATTTCTTCTAACCACAGAAGCAATGACAATTCACATATTAAAACTTGAGATCTGCGTACAAAAGTAGTTTGTTCAGTCATTAAATCTACGGGGGACCTGACCTATCTTAACACCAAATAGGTAATTTTTTTCGTCTTTTTTAGCTTGTTGGTTTGTTTCTTAGGTGTATTATTTCCTTCCTCAACACCCTATTAAACCTCTACTGCTTATTACTACTGTTTTTAAGTCAGACTTCGTTTAATTTTAATTTCATATGAGCTCTACTCAACCCTATCAATTAGATTATGTCACTCAACGTGCTAATATAATTTTATTTTAGTTTATAACCCACTAACGAAATTTGTTATCTAAAACTTACAATTCTAATAATTTTATTTTAGTTTCTACACGAGTAATGCTTACTACATTACGTTATTTGTTGAATACAATTTACAATTCTAATGACAAATCTTTGAAATATTCATTTTGATGCTAAGATGAAGTTGGTCTTGACGTAAGAAGTTGAAGTTTGCTTCTGAATGCTGGAGATGGAAATTTTACAAAGAAGAATAAGTTTATTCTGAGTTCCTAATAAGTACTAATAAATGAAAAGCCCTATTTAAAGGATTCCTGTAGATAGCCTTTTAAAATCTGACGTTGAACATACATGTGAGTTTACTTAAAAACTTAAAATGTACGTGTTCTAACCATTCTCAAGTATCTTTCAACATAACAAAATTCACTTGAAATAAAAGAAATAAGTACACATAGCACGAAAAATACCACTAAACGATTTCACTACAGTTGAGATTCACGGTTATTCTGATCTTCTTACAATAATTTAAACAAAACTGTAAATCCTTGCCCAAAGATAAGTACGAAGAAATCTAAGGTAGATTCTTCCTGTAGGAAAATGAGAAGGAACAAGTGATTTGATCGATTATTTTTTCTCCTTCACGTTCCCAGTGGAACATAGGGCTTCAAGCTAGTGGCTTGAAGTTTCTGTAGCAGTGTTTGATTTTTACAGGATGAGGTTGCTGGCCTCATGAACAACCTTTCCTCTTTACCAAATTTTTATTACTGGTTTGTAGAGGTAAAAGAGTGCGTCAGTCGGGGATCGAACCGCGGACCACATGCATGGTCGGCCAGTGTCCTAACCAATGTGCCACCGACGCATGCTTTACAGATTATACTTTACATCAATTTTTATCTGACTTCTATGACATTCTCATCTCTGTATGAATTTGAGTCAAGCAGTTTAAATGAGCTGGGAGTGTATTTCAGTAAACTAATTTTTAGCAAAATATTGTGAAAAACTATTCAGAGTTGCTTGTATAAAATGTCTACTACAGTATCTTCCCTTTCTTTTAGTTTTTCATAAATTTCAAGCTATACGATAAGGTGATCTCAGTAAATCAACTCTTCAAGTTATAAATACATATCTGATATTCAAAAGTCGGCTGCCTCGAAGCTTCTAAACTCATTTTTGTTTTAGAGTAGTGGTGAGAAATATCTAGGCAGAAAAGTTTTGTCCTTAGGCATTATTTGCGAATTACACAATTTGCATCAATGTCTCCTATTTCTAATTTGTTTGACAAAACGGGCTGTTTTGTCAACTAACTGAAAATCGTTGATACTGGGTGGTTTGAGACAATCAGCGGAACACCTTTAGCCTAGGTTTCGTGCTAGTTGGCAGTCACCAGCAAGGCGTACCTGCAACCCTGAAGGAACCTGTGTCCCTTCTGAGATTGGATACGCCTTGCTGACGAGTGACAACTAGCAGGAAACCTAGGTTCAAACCTAGGCTCTTGCCGATTATCTCCAACTATCTAATACCAACAACTCAAAGTGCAGCATGATGGCTAGCCACCTAGAATGGCGGCCACATTGCAAACTTGACTGATAGAATTCAGTCTAGACCAAAGATAGGACTAGACACATTACACTATTTACTGACTAGTGTCCAATTAAAAAATATATATTTGTAAATTTTCACAGTTTGTGACTTAGGACAAAGAAGTTTCACTAAGTAATAAATTATATATATATCGACAAAATAATTGATTACATTCATGTCTGCCGAGTGGAAATTAAATTCTGTCCAGTAGAACTGAATGATTCAACCCCATTAAGGATAATTACAGAATCTATAAAGGATTCGCAAATTGTTTATCCATTTTATTATAAAACAATCCATTAAAATCCTAATATTGAATGTGTGATGTTGGCAATTCCACCATATACGAAAGGTTCATTTACAGCTGTCTGTCACGATTACATCAAATTGTTTATGCGTTATCCAAATTACGATGTTTACTAGTGATTACTATGACTGGTTAGAGACTACTTGTACTTTATTCGCCTTTTTGAAAATATTCACGGTATGGAATGTGTCAAATAATAAAGAAAAGGATTCCTAAAGAGCCAGGAAGCACTGAGAATCATCGGCAATGCGCACTCACAGGGGTTCGAACCCAAACCCTTCTAGGTACAATGCAAGCTCGTACACCGTTCAGCCACCGGGACCTGACTTATTGGTCATCCAATTCCTGATTTTTAGCGCGACTGCCAGCCAATGTCATCGGCGGGAAATCCATCCTCACACTTGGCTGGATGGACCTGACTGGTCACGACTTCTCACTAGAACTCCAGGGAACTCCTTCTTGTAGCACTTCACTAGCAGTCGTCAGAATTATTTTCAAGAGTCAGTTTTTTTCAGAACTTCATGGTTTCCAGTGGTTCTCTAACCGTGGTTAAACTCGTAAAAACAAATCTAATCCTTACAAACCGACTCTTGAAGATTCATAAAGACTTTTTCACAATGACACTATATACTATTATCATTAGTTATTCTTCTACTACTAAAATCGTAATAACTACTATCAAAACTACTGCATTATACATGTTAAAGAGTGAAAAAGCAAGCTAAAATCTTGTCAAAACATGGAAACCACTCACATATACGTAAATAATCTAGCTGATATTTATTTTATGAAATGTACACCGTTAAATTAAAATTATGCTAAAAATTAATATTCACTAGGCATTTTAAAAAAAAAGATATAGCTTAAAACATTTACATAAGACACTGTTTCCAGTTCTTTTTTTTATAAGTGTGTAATTCCACATTCTTTGTTATTCTTTTTCTTCATTTTTCAACACGATAGACATGAAATGATACATTTCAAAACAGGAAATGTTATTCTGTATGAAATGAAACTTCTTTTTAAGGACCAAAAGCACAAAAAAAAAATCCTGTAACAAGTTGATGCTATTCAATCAACAAGTATTTGAAACACAATAGAACCTTCATTTAAATTTTCATTAACTTTAATATTTTTTGCTAGTGTATAACATTTTACCCAAATAATCACGTGTCGTTTTGGATTATAAAAATGTACAAATACTAACGGGGATTGATAACCGCCTTGATTTAAGTAAGGATAGAACATTGGATCAAAGATACCAAAATCTTTATCACACCAATCATCATTCGTGTTTAATGCATGATGTCGTTTCAATGATTCACTGTCATAATAGCATACTTTGCCTAAATAGGCTGAATCTGTTTCAGTTAATCCTTCACATTTCAACAGAACACCAGTTTTATTCACCAATGGGTCTGGTAGCCAACCGTAGATCCGGTTCAATTTAATAGCAAAACACGGTTTACCTTCATAATAACCATAACCATTTTTCAGATTACATGGACCACTAGCATCGAGATTAAATCGACACGGACGACGAGGATTTAGTAGTGTTGGACTATCTTCACATGATGCAAACATACCACCGACTAAATTATATTGATAATAAGATAAAAATGCAGTCATTTCATCCATCATAGATGAATAGGAGACTGGATTAGAAGTACGAAAATTTATCAAACTTGTCAGAACACTTGGATTTGGTACCATTGACAGACCTGGATTCATTTTTAATTGATTCTGTAATCCAGTAAGTTTTGGATAATCAGCTAATATTGTAAAGTAAAATAATATGTACATGTAAGCGGCAAAAACAATACAAACAAGTGAGTAAAGGCTAGTTAAATAGAAAAGTTGAGCTGAAAGTTTCTTCCAAAAATTTCTGCTATTACAGATAACTTGAAGATGAGGCATAATTTGAAAGCGTTTCTTAATTTGATACAATTTTCCTTCATAATGTTTATTGCTAGGGAATTTTTCTTCTTCAGTAAGCAATCTGGTCGTCAGCATTTGAATAGAACTTTTTGATAAATATTGTCAATTTAGAGACAAGCGTTGGATGTGAATAACTTGAGTAAATGTCGCGCTTTTCCAGTGTATGGTTTTAAAAATTTAAGATAAGATTGGCTGTTTTTATGATTATGATGATAAAAATAATAATAATAATAAATGCAAATTTATGTAAACATAAAAGATATGTGCTGTCCTCACTTGATAGTCACCTTAATTCTTTGCATGAACAAAAAAACAAAAACAAAATGCAATTCTGCAAATTTTTCAGGTGAGAAAAATAGTGATCACAGTTAATAAATAAATTTGATTGCTGTCTATGTGAAATAAAATTCTCATCCACTGAATGAAGGAATCTATAAAAAGAAAACATCTTTAGATTGGTAGAATAAGCAGTTGGAAAATGTTTTTCATTTATTTGTGAAAAAGGTCTAGGAATTTCTGATCTTATATGAATACAAACAAGCAATAAAGGTTAATAAAGCAGGATATAATGAATTCAGCTGAATACTCTACATACTCGGATATATATACTTTTGAAATTACATTGAGAGATATAAGATTGATGAGCAAATAAACTAAATTGAATTAACAATGCTGAACAACAAACACTTGAGAATGTCCTCAAGGTCGTCTTCACAAAAAAGAAGACAAGGGGAGAGGGGTATGAGAGATTAGAATTTAGATAAAACACATTATGCTTCAAATACATTCACTTTAATAAACAATTTTTCGTCAGATAATATATCAAGAATTTCCAACTGAGTAACATTAATAGTATTAGTTATAGTAATGAATGACAGTAATAAGGCTGAAGTGAGTTAAGATAATGCAACTGATAAAAGATAGTTTCAAATGAGTCAAGAATAGTAAATAATAAAAGGTAGGGTAAACTGTTAATAATACACACTGAATTGGCCAAAAGCGGTATCTTATCCTTAGCGCTAGACTAGATAAAATGTCTGCTGCGAAATGTGATACGTAGCGTGGCTGTTAGAAATATCTTCTTCAGACATTTAGAAAGGCGGTTTCTGAGAATTTCCGCCTCCAATTTACCTTTGAATTCCAGGTTCATGAATGGAGTTTTTGTAGGAACAGCCGTGATTTTTGGCGATGGAGGTTTTTCTTTCATGTTTCCACTGATTAATCCTTGTATATACCCGTTCTCTGGCAGGGTTTCACGTAATGAATTTAATTCTTTCTGTATCATGTCCTCTGAACAGAATTTTACAATCCTTGAACTTAATGTACGTACTAGGTTTTCGTTTTGGATCAGTGTGACGAAACTCTGGAAGTTGATAAACTGTTCCGTCCATGTTGGCTTGAGACAGATCGATCTACGGATCGTAATGTCTTGTCTATCTTCAGCTTGACCAGGAAAAGGTTGAAAAGAATCAATTTGGAACCATAAACATTAAAACTTATAATCCTGAATAGTATTGAAGTTTAGGTTTACGTTTTTAGATATTTCAATAAATAACTTAGTTAGTTATTTCAAACATCATAAAATGAATTAAAGAAGTAAATTTAGCATATCAAGCAATTAAATCTGTCCAATAATTTTGATACAATACAAGAAGACGTGAGTAATCTTATTCGTGTTTTGTTTGCGCTACGCGACTGAGAATAATTCCTGTCTTTTCAATTTACTTTTCTTAGTAACCGGACACTAAGTAAAATTTGTAGAATGCCTAGAGTTCCTTTCTTCCTCAATTCACTTTACATATATTTGATTCTCATACCTATTGGTAGCTTATTCCATCAGATGGGCTGGTATTGTTATTTGTTTTCTAGATATTAATATACCCGTTACGACCATTTTCTCCTGTATTACTCGGTAGCTAAGTGCTCAAAGGGCTCATCGCATCATGATCTTAAGATCCTTGGTCCGGTTCCCAGTGGAATCATAAGTGCATTGCATGAAGAGTCCCTAAATAAGATGAAACAGTCACTCGGTGTTCCCTGGATCCTGAAGTCTTGTTTTCCAAGTGGATCACAATAAAATATTGATAAGAGTCACTTTTTGTAAAAGTGTCATATACATTCGGCCCTGTAGCACTTTCGGAATTACTCCTTGACATTCAGCTTTTTACTCAAAATTGTTTAAATACACTTCATAATCCCCCTTTTTACAGGAACTATCAGTATTTTTAGCTCTACAACGCTTCACTTTATCCGTTAACTTTTGCTTCTTTTGGCTTCCTCTCTGTCCCTGTTACATCAAAACAGATCAAGTTTTAGTGCTGTTGTATTCATTCAGGTGGATGGCTTAATAAAAAAGATTTCACTGTCCTACTAGACAAAAGCGTATAGGTTATGATTTATTATTCCTATAGGTTCCGAGTGAAACATAGGGTTTCAACAGTGGATCTCCATTTCACCCTGTTTTCCGAAGTCCTCTCTGAGTGGCTCCAAGATCTTCTATAGACTCAGACCCCCTCAAACGATATTGTTCATTTAGCCATAGGGACGCACGCCTAACTCTTCATCTCCCATTTGGATTCTAATTGAGGGCTGGCTTGATGCACGATGTCGCTCAAAAGTCTTCTCAGAGTATATCCGATCCATCTGCATTTCTTTTGGCATATTTGTTAGATGAAATGTTCTTGGTTAATTCGTTGCACTGCAGAATTCCTTTTCTGGTCATTAGATCTTCAGTATGGAACCAGAAAAGTGGGCAGCTGTTAATAAAAGTTTGAAGTCTGTTTGAAACATTTCGGTAGTAGGCCAAGTCTTATAGATTAACTTCACATTAAAAGCTTCGCGAATCAGCGATGCAGCCCTGAAAATGCAATAACACAATCAATTTACGGTCTTGTTAAGTTTGTCATTTATCTACCTTCATTATTCTTAAATAAAGAAGAAAATTTGAACAAAGTACTTCTTTCAAAATGTCTGTATGTGATACTTCTCTGTAATTCGCCTCATCAAATCAGTGAGAAAATGAAGTATCATAGTTTCATTAGATAAAACTACTTCTGAGTAGTGATATTTTAGGATTTTTTAGTGATAAAATTGTCCTGGGAGCTAAGTTTTGGATTAATGCCTGAAGTGCTGCTCTCAGAGTTGCTTCCTAACTACACAGACACGCATTAACACTTTTCATCTAAATAAAATATTATTAACTAAACATTATTGCTATGAAACTTCTTCAGTTGACTGAATAAACCTAAGAAGAGAATATTTTGGCAGGCTGCTAGAAGTGAAACTGGGGTTTGTGATGTTTATTATTCATTTTCTTCTTTACAGTGCATTATTTTCCAAGCTATATAGTTCGTTTTACCACAAAAATTGTTTATTTAAAAGTATTCAGTGTATTCACTTGAAGGCACACGATCTTATTATTTGGTAGGCTTCATTTCTTACAATTTGTATCTCTCTTGACATTAGTGGACAGTATACTCTTCCATAATTTATTCATCATTTTAAAAAGAATGGTTACGAAACAAAGAATAATCTTCTCGATAATTTGATCATCGGGTTCCACAGTTATACAGTTACATAATAGCGAATGGATTAGTGTTATTTATAACATTAATGCTGTTTAAATAACATCGATCCAATGATATCACTGGATTACAGTCCAATGGAATCAGCATAACAATACGCTGAATGTCAGAAAAATTAGGAAAGATAATAATAATAATACAAATTCATGAATTTATAATCACCACTGAATGCCGACCAGGGAAGTAGTAGTGGCTGGACTTACTTTTTCTGCACACGAAGCACTGGTTGTTCCAAGAGAATCATGATAGCCTCTCCCATTGATGCTTCTCACTACACCTTTATTTAACTACACTGGTAGATGTTCTCAAGCGCGAAAAATCAGGTTCCCTGGACAACGGCCAGTATAACTCGCTGCACAAGTGCAATTGAAATGGTAGATAAAATTAGAAGTGGCTAGTCTAGGTTCTTCATGTATCTATTGAGGAATCACCATCGATTATTATTGTATTATTGTATCCTTTAGTTCCTAGAGGAACATAGGGCTTCAGCTGCGCACCTCCATTGCCTTCTGTTTTCTGCCAACTTTTTCACCCCACTCCATGTCTGTCCACATGCTTTCATCTCCTCCTCACGTGACCTCCTCCAAGTCACCCCACCCTGTAACTGACGACCAACTCGCCGCTTCCCTTTCGGGTTCCACTCGAGCAATGGCTTGTCTAGTGATGTCACTTGATGGTTTTCTCAGAGTATGGCCAATCCATCTCCATTTCTTCCTGCCTATTTGTTTCAAAATCGGTTCCTGCTGGGCTGGTTCGCTCAATGCCAGAGATCCCTGTTGCTGATCTTTTCTGGCCAGCCATCTGATCTTGAGTATTGAGCGAAGACAACTGTTAATGAAGGTCTGAAGTTTGGTTGAGATGCTCTTTATGACTCGCCAAGTCTCTGATCCGTATAGTAGCACTGACTTTACATTGGAGTTGAAAATCCGGATCTTATTTTTGATGCTGAGTGCTGTTGACCTCCACACAGATTTGAGAGTAATGAAAGCTTGTCTTGCTTTTCCGATTCTCGCTTTGATATCTTCGTCAGTTCCGCCTGTAGTTGAAACGATGCTTCCCAGGTAGGTGAAGGAGGTTGTTTCTTTCAGGTTCCTCCCATTTATCTGCTGATTGTTGTCTGTTGTTGCTCTTGATGTTGGCCAGGAATCTTCATCACCTCTGTTTTATCTATGTTCACTTGAAGTCCTATCTTTGATGCTTCTTCTGCCAACTTGTTGCTTTTCACTTGCATATCTTCCAGTTTGTGGGAAATCAGACATATATCATCGGCGAAATCCAGATCCTCCAAGTCTTTTGTGTGAGTCCATTTTATGCCTGTTTCCTCGTTGCTTGCCGTTGTCTGTCGCATTATCCAATCTACTGCAATCAGGAAGATCATTGGTGATAGTAGACAGCCTTGCCTCACTCCCGTCCTCACTTCGAAGGCTTCCGTAAGTTTCCCGTTGTGGATTACTTGGCATGCAGCATTGTCGTATAACTGTTGGATGAGATGTATAATTGTCGATGGGACCCCGTAGTAGCGAAGTAGTTTCCAAATGACCTCTCGATCGACGCTGTCGAAGGCCTTTTCAAAGTCGATGAAGTTGAGATAGAGAGGTGACTGCCATTCCAAGCTTTGTTCAATGATGATCCGTAGAGTGGCGATTTGATCAATACATGATTTGTTTCTCCTGAATCCGGCCTGTTCCGGACGAAGTTTTTCATCTAGGGCTTGTTTGATTCTCTCCAGG